AATGGAAACTCCGCAGACGTTGGCCAAGACCTGGCTTCGAACACTGTACCTCCGCACTGGTAAGACGACACAGTAACCAGTCAACCACAGTGGTGTTGTTTTGCTGAGATTGTAAGTAATAAGCCAAATAGGTCTTTATATACGTGATCATTTAAAAAGCTTTCCATGCCTGGATTCAGCCAAAAACGACCTACTATACATGGTCGTTTTTTTAAGGCTAAAAACGCCTTTCTATGAATGTTGGTTGTTTTTGGATAAAAGCGCCTTATTATACATGGTCATGAGAAAAACCCTTCCTATATTTGCAAAATCTGCAACCCAAAAAGGCCTTTACATATCTGGTCGTTCAAAAATGCTTGATATCCAAAATCTACAGATGACGGCCGAGACCTGGATTCGAACGGGTATCTTCCCACTGTTAGGCTAACGCACTAACCAGTAGACCACAGTGGCGCTGTTACAGCAAGCTCATGAGTACAACCCAAAACGGCCTTTACATACCTCGTCGCTCAAAAAAAAAAAAAAAAAAATACCGCCAACTCTGCAGATGTTGGCAAAGACCTGGCTTTGAACACTGCACCTCCGCACTGATAAGACGACACAGTAACCAGTCAACCACAGTGGTGCTGCTTTGCTGAGGTTGTAAGTAATAACACAAATAGGTCTTCATATCCGTGGTCAAAGCTTTCCATGCCTGGATTTAGCCAAAAATGCCTTACTGTACCATGGTCTTTTTTCGGCTAAAAACGCCTGACTATACATGGTCATATTTTGCGGCCAAAAATGCCATACTATACATGGTCGCTTTTTTCGGTGAAAAAAACCTAACTAGTCAGTTGTTTTTTTCATCAAAAATTTTCAGCTTAAAACGCCTTACTATACATGGTCGTTTTTTTTTTTTTTTTTTGGCTCAAAATTTCGGCTGAAAATGCCTGACGATACATGGTCGTTTTTTTCGACTAAAAATGCCTCACTGTGCATTGCCGTTTTTTTTTGGCAAAAAATGCCTTATTATACACGGTTGCTTTTTTTGGCTAAAAACGCCTTGCTATACATGGTCGTTTTTTTCGACCAAAAACGCCTTACTATACATTGTCGTTTTTTTCAGCTAAAACTGCCTGACTATACATGGTCGTTTTTTTCGGCTAAAAATGCCTTACTTTACATGGTGGTTTTTTTCGGCTAAAAAAACCTTACGATACATGGTCGCTTTTTTCGACTAAAAATGCCTTACTATACATGGTCTTTTTTTTCGTCATAAAATTTCAGCTTAAAACGCCTTACTATACGTGGTTGTTTTTCTTTTTGGCTCAAAATTTCGGCTGAAAATGCCTGACGATACATGGTCGTTTTTTTCGACTAAAAATGCCTCACTGTGCATTGCCGTTTTTTTTTGGCAAAAAATGCCTTATTATACACGGTTGCTTTTTTTGGCTAAAAACGCCTTGCTATACATGGTCGTTTTTTTCGACCAAAAACGCCTTACTGTACATTGTCGTTTTTTTCAGCTAAAAATTTCGGCTAAAACTGCCTTACTATACATCGTCGTTTTTTTCACCTGAAAACGACCTACTATACATGGACGTTTTTTTCGGCCAAAAACGCCTTACTATACATGGTGGTTTTTTTCGGCTAAAAAAACCTTACGATACATGGTCGCTTTTTTTCGACTAAAAATGCCTTACAAAACGTGGTCTTTTTTTTTGTCATAAAATTTCAGCTTAAAACGCCTTACTATACATGGTTGTTTTTTTTGGCTAAAAATTTCTGCTGAAAATGCCTGACTATACATGGTCGTTTTTTTGGACTAAAAATGCCTCACTGTGCATTGCCGTTTTTTTTGGCAAAAAATGCCTTATGATACACGGTTGCTTTTTTTTGGCTAAAAACGACCGACTATCCATGGTCATTTTTTTCGACCAAAAACGCCTTACGATACATTGTCGTTTTTTTCAGCTAAAAATTTCGGCTAAAACTGCCTTACTATACATGGTCGTTTTTTTCGACTAAAAATGCCTCACTGTGCATCGCCGTTTTTTTTTGGGAAAAAATGCCTTATTATACACGGTTGCTTTTTTTGGCTAAAAACGCCTTGCTATACGTGGTCGTTTTTTTCACCTGAAAACGACCGACTATACATTGTCGTTTTTTTCGGCCAAAAACGCCTTACTATTCATGGTCTTTTTTTGGCTAAAAACGCCTTGCTATACGTGGTCGTTTTTTTCACCTGAAAACGACCGACTATACATTGTCGTTTTTTTCGGCCAAAAACGCCTTACTATTCATGGTCTTTTTTTGGCTAAAAACGCCTTGCTATACGTGGTCGTTTTTTTCACCTGAAAACGACCGACTATACATTGTCGTTTTTTTCGGCCAAAAACGCCTTACTATTCATGGTCTTTTTTTGGCTAAAAACGCCTTATTATACATGGTGTTTTTTTTCGGCTAAAAAAACCTTCCTATACATGGTCGCTTTTTTTCGACTAAAAATGCCTTACTATACATGGTCTTTTTTTTCGTCATAAAATTTCGGCTGAAAATGCCTTCCTATACACGGTCGTTTTTTTCGACTAAAAACGCCTCACTGTGCATTGTCGTTTTTTTCGGCCAAAAACGCCTTACTATTCATGGTCTTTTTTCGGCCAAAAACGCCTTACTATTCATGGTCTTTTTTTGGCTAAAAACGCCTTATTATACATGGTCTTTTTTTTCGTCATAAAATTTCGGCTGAAAATGCCTTACTATACATGGTCTTTTTTTTCGGCTAAAAAAACCTTCCTACACGTGGTTGATTTTTCGGTTCAAAACGCCTTACTATACATGGTCGTTTTTTTTCGGCCAGAAACGCCTGACTATACATTGTCGTTTTTTTCAGCTAAAAGTTTCGGCTAAAACTGCTTTCTATAGATGGTCGTGTTTTTCGGCTAAAAACGCCTTATTATACATGGTGTTTTTTTTCGGCTAAGAAAATCTTACGATACATGGTCGATTTTTTGGTTAAAAACGCCTTACTATATACATGGTCGTTTTTTTCGGCTAAAAACGCCGTACTATACATGTTTTTTTTCAGCGAAAAAAACTTGGTCGCTTTTTTTCGACTAAAAACGCCTTACTATACATGGTCTTTTTTGGGCTAAAAATGCCTTCTATACATGGTCTTTTTTTTTCGTCAAAAAATTTCTGCTTAAAACGCCTTACAATGGTCGTTTTTTTTGGGCTAAAAATTTCGGCTAAAAACGCCCTACTATACATCGTCCTTTTTTTCGGCTGAAAATGCCTTACTATACATGGTCGTTTTTTTTTCGGCTAAAAAAACCTTACTATACATGGTCGCTTTTTTTGAGTAAAAACGCCTTACTATACATGGGGTTTTTTTGGGGGCTAAAAACGCCTTACGATACATGGCCTTTTTTTTCGTCAAAAAAAAATTCTGCTTAAAACGCATTACTATACATGTTTTTTTTTTTTTTTTAAATTTCGGCTAAAAACGCCTTACTATACATCGTCGTTTTTTTTTGGTTGAAAATGCCCTACTATACATGGGCGCTTTTTTTCGACTAAAAATGCCTCACTGTGCATTGCTGTTTTTTTTGGCTAAAAATGCCTTACTATACATGGTCGCCTTTTTTCGACTTAAAACGCCTCACTGTGCATTGCCGTTTTTTTGGGTTAAAAATGCCTTACGATACATGGCCGTTTTTTTCGGCCAGAAACGCCTTACTATACATTGTCTTTTTTTCAGCTAAAAATTTCGGCTAAAACTGCCTTACTATACATGGTCGTGTTTTTCAGCTAAAAACGCGTTATTATACATGGTGGTTTTTTTTCGACTCAAAAAAACCGTATTATACATGGTCGTTTTTTTCGTCTAAAAACGACCTACTATACATGGTCTTTTTTTAGCTAAAAATGCCTTCCTATACATTGTCGTTTTTTCAGCTCAAAATTTCGGCTAAAACTGCCTTACTATACATGGTCGTTTTTTTCGGCTAAAAACGCCTTCCTATACATGTTTTTTTTCAGCTAAAAAAACCTTACTATACATGGTCGCTTTTTTTCAACTAAAAACGCCTTACTATACATGGTCTTTTTTTGGCTAAAAACGCCTTACCATACATGGTCTTTTTTTTCATCAAAAAATTTCTGCTTAAAACGCCTTACTATAATACATGGTCGTTTTTTTGGGCTACAAATTTCGGCTAAAAAAAACCTCACTATACATGGTCGCTTTTTTTCAACTAAAAACGCCTTACTATACATGGTCTTTTTTTGGCTAAAAACGCCTTACCATACATGGTCTTTTTTTTTCGTCAAAAAAATTCTGCTTAAAACGCCTGACTATGCATGGTCGTTTTTTTCGTCTAAAAACGACCTACTATCCATGGACGTTTTTTTTCGGCCAAAAACGCCTTACTATATACATGGTCGGTTTTTTTTCGGCTAAAAACGCCTTACTATACATTGTCGTTTTTTTCGGCTGAAAATGCCTTACTATACATGGGCGTTTTTTTTGGGGCTAAAAAGGCCTTACTATATGTGGTCGTTTTTTTGGGCTCAAAATTTCGGCTAAAAACGCCTACAGAAAATGGTTGGATGGATCTATTGCTGTTGAAGCAAAATAGTTTCCATTTGAAGGAAAAGTAATATTCGTATTTAATTTTCCATGACTACATTCTCATCTTTAGATGGTTGATGCAATAAACACATCAAGATAAAGTATGATTATCGAGTAATAATTTCTGATTTGTTATGAAACAGCATGCATATTCTTTCATCTTTAATCCAAAATATTCTGTGTTGCTGGGGTCTCGCAATAATGTTTTTGACAAAATGTTATAAATATGGAAATTGTTCTGTTTGGCAGCTGTGGATAAGTATTGCCTAATCTTACTTAAAATAAAGCAGAGTTTGCAGAACCACTTGGTAAATGTTATATATTTTCGTCCTAACTCGACATTTCTACTTCAGGTTAACAAGCACGACAGCAATTTGAGTTCTACTTTGGTGTTCTGGAACTGTTTCTCCATAGACTGTAGGTTGTGTTTGGCCTCTTCATCATGTCTCTCCATTTCTGCCTCAACATGTTGTATCCTACGCTCAAGCAGGGTGTTGATGTCGTTAGAGGCCAACTTAATTCCGGTGGCTACATCCCCTTTCGTATCCGTAGTGGCTGCAGCCGCAATGAGAGCTGACAACGAGTTTGGGTTCCTGGATCTTAGTGTCTGCTCCAGCTGCTTTACCTGGTCAAATCAAAAAGACATTGAAGCAATAAAAATGACTAAATCGGATCGGAAAGAGACAGTAATGACTGTAACATGCTGGCTTAATATTGTTTGAAAGCCAAACCTGCAGCTCCAACTCCTTCATCCTTTTCAAGTCCACCCTTTTCTCTTTTGAGTGTAGAACGCTATTTCTTTTACCCACCTGGGTTTTCATGTTCTCTACCTGAAAATTTGATTGAAAACAGGAAAAAGACAAAAGCTTTAAAATCGCTTCCATAGCAATGTAATATGGGGATGCGCACTGCTATCCCAGACTGCCTGAGCAACTTAATGGCACATCCTCTGCCTTGTGCTTAGCGTGCATGCATAGTGGGACTGTATGACATGTGAAATCATAATTAGGCTTGTCCAATTCAAGATCTTGAATCGGGTATGTTGGACCTCCTATAAGCTACACAGAGTCAAATTAAAAGACTCCCCAGACTGCTGGAGTTGCCAAAATGGGGAGGGCACCTGACTCATATTCTGTGGAGCAGTCCAAAAAATACAAGATTTCTGGCCCGAGATTAAGAGTAATGTCACCAAGATTATAGGGTGTGATATGCCTTTCTCCGAGAGGCTGTGCTTGTCAGAGCACACAACCTCAATTGACAATACCTCGTTTGGTTTTATTTGGTGTTGATTGCTTTGATGTGGTTGTTGTCTTTGTTGTTGGAGTTTAAGCACAGTACAATGTACAACTTGATGCTTATTTGAAGCAAACATCTTCACATTGTGGTATGACTGATGCTCACCACGTTTGCTCAGTTTATCCTGTATTGTGCAATTTTCAAAATCTTAATAAAATGTTAGTTTCAAAAATATATATGTTTTGAAGATATCCCTAGCCGCTAAATATTATACATTATTGCATAAATACGTTTATCTGCAGCAAGTGCACATGAGAAGCCTAAAGCTTTACACAATAAAATGAGTTTAAATAGGGCACAGATGATTTCTTGGCGACTATTAATCTCTTGTACTTTGGGGTACAGTTGCTTGGGCAGCGACTGACCTGCTCTTTCAGTCGATCAATCTCTGCTGTAGCAGCCTTCAGTCGCGCTGCATCTCTTCTAGACAAAACTTCCTGGTTGTCTGTAAACCACTGGATCTGCTTCTTTAGTGCAGCGACTTCTTCTCTGTATGTATCCTCTGGTACAGTGACTGGCACATTAAAAAAAGCGTAACAACTCACAATAGCCATTGATGGATGTTTCAAAAGAGTTTAGAATAAAAAAGAAACACTGTATTTTCTGCACTGTAAGGCGCTTCAGATTATAAGGTGCATCTTGGCCTATTTTAAAACTGTTTTCATCTATATATAGCGCACACTGCATTATAAGGCGCACAGAATAGAAGTTACAATAATGCCTGCAGTTGTGCTTTGCATCCACTAGATAGAGGTACGCTCAAGGGAATACAGTATATTATGATACACTGCAGCTTTATTTTTAAAGAGCCTTCACAATCGCTGCGGCTGTAACAAAGCCATGAGAACTGGTTACAAAAACGCACATGAAACATAGAAATACAAATGGAATTAAAAAACAATAAATGAAAGACAACAATTATGAAGACGATTAATTCAACAAAAAGGCACACAAACCTCACATCCACAAGGGGCTAAATGTCCTTAGAAGTCTTGCTTCTCTCCTTCTCCCTTCGTTTAGTCAGTAGTTAACTATGCTTTTGGTATTATCTTTGTTTCATTATGATTGCGCAGAGCTCACAAAGCAGTTGTCTGTTGGAGTGAGCGTTGGTGAATGCACATGCCAATTAGAGTCGGGCAGAACCTTTTTAGGTTACGATTGGTTCCTGCTAATAATCACCACTAGATGGCAGAGGAATACTGACAGGGAAACAATTCAATGGCGAATATAAAGAGCCTGTAACATCATATATATAAGGTGCATCGGATTAGAGGGAGCACTGTTGGCTTTTGGGAAAATTGAATGCTATTAGGTGCACCTTCTAGTGCGGAAAATACAGTACATGACATACTATATCTGATCATTTCGGCTGTCACACTGTTTGTTGTCAGTCTTACCAGAGGTGGAGACAGTCTGCGCTTTAGCCATATCTCTCTCCTTCCTGATTAGTTCCATGTCCAGATGCAGGGCCTGGTTCTCCTGTCTCAGTCTGTGAATGTCCTCTGACAGTTTGGCCTCATTCATCTACTGACAAGAAACATTTTAATGATTTGTCAGGAAGCTCCAAATAAAGTTAAAAGATTCAAGATAAGTGTGTTATAGAGATACTTGCCTGAGATGTATTAAGGTCAGCTAATAAGTCTTTAATACGATGATCTAATGAGCATGATGATTTACTGAGCTGCTCTCTGAATGAGATGATAAACACTGATTTTTAATATGCAACAGACAATGGATGAAGAGAAAAATATCATTTGCAGTGTTTGAAAAAAAAAAGGCTTCAAATGTTCAACAACTGTCACTGCTACATTGCCAATGCCACACACATTTACTGAACCTACCTTGTGAAAAGCAGCTCGCTTTCAAGTCTTTGGTTTTCATGAAACATGGCTTGCTCATCGGCTGCACTCTTGGAACGCTGAGCTTTCAACTGCAAGTACAGCTTCTCATTCTCCTGTGAAATGTCACTCGACAGGTTAAGATTTCTGTGCATATCAGACAAATAATTATATATACAGTGAAACTCCTCTACAACAAAACCTACATGGGCGAAAATACCCCCTAGTGTGAAAAAAATCTTCATGCATTAACACCATTCCCACTTTCCTGCCCCCCATACAACGAAAAAAATGTGTGTTCATGTGTGTGTGTGTGTTTACATCTGAGATCAAATTTGCTACAGTGAAAAAACCCCTGTTGTGAAAAATGTCTTGCAAACATGATTTCGTTGTAGAGGAGTTTCACTGTACACACACACACACACGAATTTCAAAAGAGGAGGTTTGAAGAATGCTTACCTGTTGGTAACCTTGAATGATCATCTCCTGATCCCTTATTTCTTTCTCAATCTGTTGGAGAGTTTTCTCAGTCGTAGGATCCGCCTTCTCTGTCAGTCTCAACTTTTTACTGGCTTCTTCTGCACTATGCAACTACAATGTGGGAAAAATACCACAGATTAATTTTTTTAATTTTAATTAATTTATAATGCACTTAATTGAACGGTGTACATTGAAACTGTACCATTTATTTTGTGAATGCAAACACTTTGTTTTTCTTCTTTCTTCTTTCTACCCACAATCTTGCTGCTGTAGACTGTAAATTTCCCCAGTGTGGGACAAATAAAGGATATCTTACTTACTCACTTACTTAAAAAAAAGACCTGAGACATGTATACAACATTAATTGTTGGGCAACACTGGAGAACAAAACAAGAGTCTGCTCTTTTCTCTCTCTGCCCAACACAGAAATGCATGCTTTTATCGCCAATCAAATTGATTACTGTAATGCCTTGCTTTCTGTTCTTCCTAAAAAGAGCATTTCATGTCTGCAATTACGACAGAATTCGGCAGCACGTGACCTGACTAAGAGTGGAATCGAAGAAGTAGATCACATCAGCAGCCATTAATCAGTGTTTAACAAAACCCAAACCCTGATTTACACCCAATGTCTGACGCCCCAAAAGGTTTTAATACACATGCATTGGTTATTTTTGTGCATGTTTATCAACCTTGCTCTGAAGAACATAGTTGTGCTGTTGGAGCTCCTCTTTTTGTTGCTTCATTAGTTGCAGTTCCTTATCCTTCTGGGTGAGCTGACCTCTTAGCTCCTCCAGCAGAGAAGTGCCCTTCTGGACATTAAAAATATGTTGAGAAATGGCAGAATGCAAAGGCGGTTATACTGACTGTTCACTCGTCCTGTCCTACCTGGAAAAATACATTTCAATCCTGATTTTGCAATAATTCTATGGAAAGCATCTACTGATGAAGAGGCACATTGTGAAGCATGTAGAACAAGCATGTTGAGACATCAAGAATTAAATTCAGGATCATGCCTTTGAATAGACTTTTTTCATCCAAGACATTCCATTCTGAGGGCATTAAAATCAATTGCAACTGAACTGGTCTGATTGTGTTCGAAGACATTTCGCCTCTCATGCAAGTGGACAGCACAGCACTAGCCTGAGTGTTAGTGTGGAAACCAGAGATGAAAGTGGACTTTTCTGAAAATTCCGGGAAAAAAAAAAATATATATATATATATATATATATACACACACACACACACACACACACACACACACACACACACACACACGCGTTTATATTCTTTACGG